TGACGGGAGCTCAAACTGCTTCTCACATTTTATTTGTATCTAAATCAGAAACTCTAGGTCTCGGCTACAATCATTCCTCTATCATTAAGACAAGATAAAATATAATTTATGATAAAGTATCTGGGCAGTTCAACTTAAGAATACAGAGGTTAATATACTTAAATCTAGACTCCTCTCAAATTATCTTTGTGCAAAAAGGTGAATTTTGGATGTGACTTACTCTCCTGTTCTTGGTATTCATGATAACTAAGGAGGCAAGGGAACCCTGTCACTTGGTCAGGATGCAGAAGCCAAAACTCATCTATTTCAGGATAAGGAACCCAGAATAAGGGAGAATCATAAATGAAAGACAAAGGCAGAAGAAATCCCACTGGCTTAGAATGAACGTGATGGTGACCAGGAAGATTAACCCTTTCCAAAATGTAATGCACACACATAATACTCTATTGATGAATACAGCAGTGCCTATACATCGCTGTTTTGGTTCATTACTGGGAGCAGGGTAAAAAGATTCCTAAGGGCTACGGTAAGTGAGCTTAGTGAAAATGCACCACAAAGACCAGAGGGAAAGCTCTGGAAACTGCTGGATCATCAGATCAATAGACTCAAAGATGACTAAGTTGGGAAGCTTTATGCAGTTTAAACATTTGTGCAGGGAGTATCCCCACACAGCCTTTTATTGACAGCTACAGATCAATGGTAATTTTTGATCATTTTCAACCTACATAAACCTATTGACCCCATGGCCACCTTTGGGGCACTTCAAGTCGTCAAAAATAATCAGAGGAGATGGTGTAAAATTGTCAGACTACTGAAGACTCCAAGCAGTTTCATATGTCCCCAGGAGCTGAGTCAAGAGGTTAAAATATAGTTCAAATTGCCAGCAGAACCTCAACTGGCAGAATGTTCCAGAGAGTCTTGTCTTTAAGTCTCATAAAATGAGGCACTAATTTGTATCCAAACTCTGACCTCCATGCATATAATTTACAGGGAAAAAAAGAGGCTGAATCCCATTGAAGATATTAGGTTGCAAAGAATGGATTATTCCTAGTAAAATAGTTCTTCCTGTTTCTCTTTGTTGAGTCATTCTCTTCCTCTGCTGCCTAACAAAAGTAGCTGATATGGTTGCAGAATTATGTACAATATGGATGGGGACATAGAATGAACAGAGACAAAATGGAAACAAGGGCAAGGTTGGCAGCCCAGAAGTCAGGGATAACAAAAAAGGTAGTTAAAAAAAATCATTAGGAAGAGTGGGAAGGAAAGAGCAAAATAATGGCAATGAAGGGGAAGAAGTAAGAGTATTGAATTAAGATAATCTCCATAGAGGAAAAGGAGTGAGGGAGGAAGGAAAGGTTGAGAAAGGAACGAGAAAGGAAGGGAAGGAAGAAAGGTGAAGCAAAGGAGTGAAAGGAAGGAAAATCGTTTTCAATGATGACTTTTCCTAGTAAGTGGGACAGAATGCTGCATCTCCAAAGGAAGGAATTGAACCCAAAACATCTAAGATCCACAATGCTCAAACAAATATCCTGAATTTAAGAAAAATAACAAGTAACTGAGTAAGTAAATGAGAGACAACCCAATCCACAGAGTGAACTGCATCCACATTCTGCATCAGGATTCTAAAATAGTCAATTTTGGTATTGGAAATTCATTCAGGAGAGAATAATATAAATTATTTCCTAAAATGTCAAAGAATAAATTGGTAAGGATTGTCTTGCCATTTTTATGTTTTCTTCATTTTTTAATACAGCTTTTACTAAACATTGACAAAAACTATGGCTATTAATGAGATTTATTTAAGGAGTCTATATGTGTTGTGTGTGCGTGTGTCTGTGTGTGTGTCTGTGTGTGTATGTGTACATACGTAACTCTTCAGGAATAACAAATTAGCCAGATCCAGTGGCTCACACCTGTAATCCCAGCACTTTTGAGCAGCCAAGGCAAAAGGATTGCTTGAGCTAGAGAGTTGGAGACCAGCCTGGGCAACATAGTGATGCCCAATCTCTAGAAAGAAAAAAAAAAGAACGAACAAAAAGAAACCTTTTCTAATTAGCCACACATGGTGGCACATGCCTGTAGTCCCGGCTACTCAGGAAGCTGAGGCAGGAGAATCACTTGAGCCCAGGGGTTCAAGGCTGCAGCAAGCCATGATCATGCCACTACACTCCAGCCTAAGCAAAAGAGCCAATAAATATTAATTAATTAATAACAAATTAATGTAATGTGAGAACTTGTCCTCAGTATAATTTCATGACACAAAAATTCTCTTTTAAATTCCAACATGCAATTATTTCTCTTTTTTTAGGATACATGTAGACCAGGTTAAACAAAACAACTGTTGTAATCACCCTTTGTAGGAGTATATCCCTAAACATTTCCTGTGCCAGGCATGCACGAACTTCAACTTGCGACCTGCAGGCCATATTTCTATATTAGCTGGTGGAGGTTTTGAAGCCAGGGCATTCTGAATACTTCTGCTTTCAAGGATCTGAGCCATAAATGTTTATTAAAAGAATCTATAATGAAATCAGTTTTGTTATTTTCTTAATGGTTGCCTGGAGTGTGTTGGATGACTGAATGCCAGTTGTTAATCATTAAGTACTCGTGTTACCAAAAGTGTTTGATAGTATTGCCATCTAGGGGCTGAATGAAATTCTCAGCTCTGAAATAAACTATAATTGAGCAGGTGCAGCTATTGACAATATACATATGTTTTTGCTTTATAGCCCACATGCTTTTCATGTTTCTTATGACAAAAGCTTATGAAAAAATGTCCCCCAGCAGCCCACCTTTTTTATATATAATCTGTTAGAGGTGATTACTATTTGCTTAGGAGCGTATGGTTTTTTGGCATCTATTACTGAATATTCTGAACAAAGAATTATTCTTTTTTGCATTATTAATCTTGCCCATGTTTGCCCTATTCCCACAGAAAAGGAATCATTTATCAGAAAAGAATGTTTGTAATTGGGACTTGTAGCATCTTCAGATTTAATATTCATTATGGTCATTCTAGTTCTGTGCTATATTTATCTAAAAGGCCAATCCAATGTTGTGGAGAAATAACTTTTTAAATATTTATGATCTAACTTTTAATATTTTAAAAAAGAGAAATTAGTATTTCTGTAAAATTTGTTTCAGAGTCTGGTTGCTCAGCAAATGTTTAAATATTAAAAGATTTCAAGAGGTTAGCATGTAATATCATAATGGGACTTATTGAAATAGGAAAATTGACTTTACAAGTTTTTGATGTGTAAAGGAAATTGTATTTTCTCTGCCTATGTTTAACACATAACAAGAAATATTAACACAGTTAAAATGTATAGCCAATAATGTCAGAAAACAAAACCAAAAACTATTTCTACATTGTTTTGTTTTTGTCTAACCAGTTTGTTTGGAAAACAATTCTGTTTCATTTTGTCATCTCGTTTTAGATTTTATCCAAAATGATATTTGGATATCCCCAAATTAAGGAGGATTTCCTTATACATAATTTTGTCTGATGTTCTTGGGTACCTACTTTCAGAAAAAACTTCCACTACTCCACTTCACATTCCTCCTCACTTGCTCACCAAGAATATAAGATAATTGAAAACCATCTATCACATTCAAACATCTAATAAACCAAAGCAGATCATCGATTGTAAACATCCTACTAACCCAGTCAAAATTTTCTCATATTTCTTACATCCATTGGGTATGGTACATAACAGAAAATGCCAATCGTGTGTGTGTGTGTGTGTATACCTATGCACACATTACTACCCTACTTGCAGACGTAATTCGTACTTTAAAAAGATATTCTTTTAGTCCAGATGTGGAAAGAGTACCCCAGGGCCTTTAGAAACATTAGGATTCTTAGCTCCAGTTTAGTCATGCCAAATATGTTAAATGTTGCTCTCTAAGCAGAAAAACAAACAAACAAAAAATCCTAATTTGGCTATCTCTTTTTTCTTTTCCTTTAAATCAGCAAAGACCAAATTCTCCAAGCCTAGCTAACAATTACTTTTGGTAGGTTTCATAGTTTTGGTTATGGTGCTTTTAACAATAAAATATGCTGGGCGCAGTGGCTCAAGCCTGTAATCCCAGCACTTTGGGAGGCCGAGGCGGGTGGATCGCGAGGTCAAGAGATCGAGACCATCCTGGTCAACACGGTGAAACCCCGTCTCTACTAAAAATACAAAACATTAGCTGGGCATGGTGGCGCGTGCCTGTAATCCCAGCTACTCAGGAAGCTGAGGCAGGAGAATTGCGTGAACCCAGGAGGCGGAGGTTGCGGTGAGCCGAGATCGCGCCATTGCACTCCAGCCTGGGTAACGAGCGAAACTCCGTCCCAAAAAAAAAACAAAAAAAAAAAAAAAAAAAAAAAAATTTAATTAAATAATTTAATTAATAGTAGACTTTTCTAAGGGTGTTTGTATACCTATAGTTGAATTGGCTTGTTACTGTTTTCTCGTGTTGATTTGTTTTATTGAATTCGTGAGATATATACACACTCCAAAAGAATGGGAGAAGGAGACTGGGAAGATGCGGAGTCTTAGGTAATTAGATAGTGTTGGGGATTTGGAAACCAGGAGTGTTCAGGTTAAATCTCCAAACCCTTAATGTTAGCCTGGTGGGCAATTATCCCAGTCTCTGACATGCAACTCGGTACCACTGATTTCCATTTTGAGCTGGATGCAGCACTGATCTGAAGCATCATAGGTTTCATATATATCTTACACCCTTTGGGTTGCAAGATTGGAAAAATCAAGAATACTATCTGATCAACTTTCTGAGTGTCTAAAATCTTACAACATTGGATAATATATTCAGGGTATCAACAAGAACAAGAAAAAATGCATTGTTTTGTTAATGATAGTTCAAAACTCTGCTATGGCGTTTGCACTGCTGTTGCCCATGTGCTTTGGCCATGAGGTTCAGAGAATTACCTTCCAGTGATACTGTCAGTTTCTAAACAACAATAAAAAATGTTTAACCTGTTAACTTTCTTACAGGGAACAAGCCATCAAGCCCACCTGTTCGGACTAGAACCATTCACAACATATCACGTTGGTGTTGTGGCTGCAAACTATGCAGGAGAAATTTTAAGCCCCTGGACTCCGATTCAAACCTTAGAATCTTCCCCGAGTGGACTGAGAAACTTTATCGTAGAACAGAAAGAGAATGGCCGGGCATTGCTGCTACAGTGGTCAGAGCCTATGAGAACCAATGGTGTGATTAAGGTAATGTCTACCCTGCGTAAGAAATTATGTTTGGTGTTCTCCACATAAATAGATGAGCCCTGACATGCCATCCGGTCACTGTGGGAAAACTCCCTTCACAGCCTGTTTAATTCTTCTTGATAGCTCCTCCAGGCACTTAGATCAGAGAAAACTAGCTCAAATGTGTGATGCTTCCTATGAACCCAACACGGGGCTAATTGCTCTCCATGGATTATCTCGTTTAATCCTCACATCAACCCTGCTAGGTGGGTACCACTAAACCTCATGAGGCATATGCAGGCTAAATAACTACCCAAGCCTACACTGTAAGTAATAGAGTTGGGATTTGGAGCCAGGAACTCACATCAGAACTGAACTCTAAATGACTGTGTTCTTAACTGCCTCCTGAATTACCCTTCTCAGTTATTTGCTTAAGACTTGCCTAATTTATGCTTCAAACAAAGCTTACCAAGCAAGCCACAGGTGTCTGCTAACTTCCCAACTTCTGTGTGTAGCCATGAGAAACAGTCTTATAAATGTCATATACGTATCTCAAGCTCAGCCAGCCTGTGAGTACAGGGGAGATGGTATTTTCATGAATAGCCTGCATTTTGATGCTTTGAACCTTCAGCCACAGCCCTCATCTACCTCTCTGATGTTCCTCCCCAACGATGGTGGCAGACATACCTGTCAGTTCATGCTACTGCCTTTACCTCCAGTCTCTCCTGGCCCTGGCACATCCCTTAGGCCCTCATCAACTACTTTCTGCAGGCTGGGGCTACCTTTTCGTTGCCACTGTACCCTTTTCTTTGCTTCTCCTTCTCCAGGAGGCAAAGACTCCCACATTAATTCCACATCACAGGGTTGAGACTAAGCTGTTACTTTTAATAAGGCCTCTCTGAAAACCCTAAGACAGGGATGACAGCAGGAGATTACGTGCAGCAATAACTGAGAGCTGTAACTAGAGCTCACAGGCCCGGGTCCATCCTGCGGGCCTCTCTGTGGGCTGCCTCTCTGCCTAGCTCCAAGGCCTGCTGCCAGTAGCAGTAGCACGCTGCTTCCCACCAGCCTGCCTGCATGTGGACAGCAGCCAGAATTCTGCCCCCTGGGGCAAGAGGCTTGAGCCTTAGGATTCATGACCTTAAAATCTAAATCACGGCTCCAAGGTCCCCATCAGAGAAGAAAGCTCCTTCCCTCAAACCACGTCTTCTTGTGGGTATTTGTTTCCCATGACAGCATCTGCTTCTTTCTGGCATGATTGACAATAAGAATATTGACCCCTTGGATCTTTATTTTGCATTTCACCAAATATTTGCTTGATATTTGGTGAAATGCTTCTACTAAGTACCATATACTTATTCAACAGTGAACAAGACAGTCAAGATCCCTTGTGTTACAAACCGTGTGTGTGTGTGTGTGTGTGTGTAAATGTGGCAGAGTATATGAATGTTGGGTGTACAGAAAAACAAACAATAAGCTAGTAAATAAATAAGCAAGGGAATTACAGAGAGTGATGAATACTATAAAGAAAATTAAATAGAATAATGTAATTGTGCCTGCTGAGGCCATTTTAGAATGGAATATCATTTGAATCAAGTTGACATTTGAGCTGAGTCCTGAATGACAAGACAGAGTCAGTCATGTGAAGATACGGGGGCAAAATGTTCCAGACAAAATGAACAGCAAATGCAAGGCCTGAAGCCAGGAATTAACTTGGTGTGTTCAAGAAAAGAGAAGAAAGATAGTGTGTATGAAGTATTTGGGGAAAAGAAAGATGGCACTAGAAGAGGTTGGAGGGACTGGCAGGAGACAGATTGTGCCTAACTTTGTAGGCTGTGGTAGAGTTTAGAATTTGTTCCACGTGCAATGAAAAATTACTGAAGGCTTTAAGCAAAGAAACATCATGACCAAATTTATGTTTTTAAAAATCAATCTGGCTACCCTGTGGAAAATGGACTACATAAGGACCAATAGAGTTTGAGAACTATAGATGTCAAAGTAGAATATGGATTTTACTTTGGTAGATGGTGGCTCAAATGAGAGTGGCAGTTGTGAGTCATGAACTATGGGTGAATTGAAGATACATTCAGAAGTCGGAGATGACAAAATGTGTGAATGAGCTGAATGAAAGACGTGAAGGAAAAGGAGCACTTTGGGATGACTTTTGGGTTTAGGCTTTGGGCTATTGATGAGGGAGGGGAGACTGGAAGATGAACAAGTTTGAGGGGGCAAGTCGATAGTGTGAGGTGCAAGTCTAAAACTCCTGAGAGAGTTCCTCACTGAGATCAATGATCGGAATACCTTCCGAACCTCTGTTAGCAGGTGGATGTTATTTAAACCCACGGTGCCAGAGGAGATCAGCTATGGAGCGAATGTAACTCAACCTGTTGAGGGTCTGGGATCAAGCCCTGAGGCATAAATGTGGGGGTCAAGAGGAGGAAAGAGAGCCAGCAAAGACTGAGAAGAGGGAACTAGGCTAGAAGGAAAAGTACTGAGCGGAGTGTCCAAAAACTGAAATATGCCAAAATGCTGCCGAGCGCACAAGTAAAATGAGGGCAGAGAAGCCACCGTGAGTGTGGGAGTGGGAGGTCACTGAGAGCTTGACAAGCAGATTGAGTGGTAGCATGGGAAGCCTGGTTGGCATGGCTGGTTGAGGCGAAAATGGCAAGGGAGGAAATGAGGACAGCAACTCATTAAAGCCATTTAGATGAAAAGCAGAGAAATGGAGCAATAGGTGGATACTGCGGCACGGGGAAGTTTTATTAAAATCATTGAAAAAATACTAGAGTACCTGTAAACATGAATGGAAATAACCGGTAGAGAGAAATAAACTAGTGACGTAGGAGAATATGAGAATAATGGCAGTGGTAAAGTCATTGGGAAGGAAGAAGGGATGGGATACAGCACTCAGGTGGCCTTTAATAAGGACAGAGATATTTCATTCATAGCAAAAAAGGAAAGACAAATCATGTAAGTCTAGATTCACAGGGATACAGCGGTCAGAATATATAACATGGAAGCATGCTTCTCTAACTGCTTCTATTTTCATGAAGTATGTGGTTATGTCAACAACCAATGTTGAGAGAGAGAAGAGGGTATTGGTGGTTGAGGAAAGGAGGAAATATGAAAGAATCACCTGGGAAAATGAGAGAGGAACCACATGTTGGAATAAAATAGGATTACAAATTTGTAATCGCCTATTTTAAATGTATGGTTAGAAGTTTAAAATGAGACCAGTAAAAATGTTTTGGTGTTTCTCTACAAAGACATTTCAGAGCTTAGGTATAGAGGGAAAGCTAAATTTTACACTAGTTAGAGATTTGCTAGGTGACTATTAGGGCATCAAGAGGTGCTGAGGTGTCACAGAGGCTGCAAGCTAATTATGGAACCTAAGCTCCCTTCAGAAGATATGGCAGTCCCCTTTCCTCATGGGGGTGGTCTTGCCGTGGATCCTCAACAAGAAAAATCACAACAACATATAATATTCCAACATAAAGAGATTATCAAAAGTCTAGGCTGTATAATCTTAGAAAAAAAGTGAAGTATATTAACAATTCAGTCTAAATTAAGCTTTCCCAAGAACCACTCCTGGGAGTGTTTCAAGGGTGTGCTTCCAAGGGCTGTAAAATGTGCCCTGTCCCCTCTTGAGAGTCACTGTGATAGGGAGTCATCTGTAAGAGTGTGTCATCTCTCTCAGGTTCGTTGAAGCAGGAAAAGGGTGGGAAATCACTGTTCAAAAACACCTGCATTCAGATTAAGTTACTTCCCATCTTTCAAAAAAAAATGTATAATACAGGGTTGAAAACTTGCTTTACATTTGTACAATATAATAAGCACTCAGGTGTTTTTTCCCAGAACAAGAGTACTTTGCCCACAAAGGAGCAATCAATTCTTCCGTGGCCTGCAAGAGAAAACAGGGTGTTTTATTTTCCAACTCCTAGTTGTAAAGGTTTACATATATATATATATATATATATATATATGTGTGTGTGTGTGTGTGTGTGTGTGTGTATATATATATATATATATATATGTATGTACATGCATATATTTGTATGGATATTTGTACTTATATATAAAATATAGGTGTCGGTGTGCCTAAACACACACACACTTACACACTTTCGGCCCTGGCACTCTGTAAGAACAAATGATTAAGTATTGTAATTCTATTTCACAGCAAATGGCTTGGAAGGTAGACCCTACTTACTCTAGTCTGTGTGAGATCAGACGCAGCTCGTATCTATAAAAAAGGACATTTGAATGCTATTCTCTACTTTAAAAAAAAAATACAAGTAGGAGAAACCTCGTGAGTACCATTTAAGTCAAAATATCAGGTTCAATGGCCCTTTGCTTTGGGGGAAAACAACAGCAAAGAAAAACGTTGTTATCTCTCGGTGGGCCTTATATTAACTGAAAAAGATCACACCTCCCCAATTGATATCAGAATACTTCTAAATTAGGGTCATCAAAATAAGGAATAGGAGGGTAAAGGTTAAAAAGGGGCTAAATGACTACACAAAGAAATCACATGCTGCAAGTTACCCCTTTTGCTTCTGTTCCTTCTGTAGACATACAACATCTTCAGTGACGGGCTCCTGGAGTACGCTGGTTTAAATCGTCAGTTTCTCTTCCGCCGCCTGGATCCTTTCACTCTCTACACGCTGACCCTGGAGGCCTGCACCAGAGCAGGCTGTGCACACTCGGCACCCCAGCCCCTGTGGACAGATGAAGCCCCTCCAGACTCTCAGTTGGCTCCTACTGTCCAGTCTGTGAAGTCCACCAGTGTTGAGCTGAGCTGGTCTGAGCCTGTTAACCCAAATGGAAAAATAATTCGCTATGAAGTGATTCGCAGATGCTTTGAAGGGAAAGCTTGGGGAAATCAGACAATCCAGGCCGATGAGAAAATTGTTTTCACAGAATATAACACTGAAAGGAATACATTTATGTATAGTGACACAGGTTTGCAGCCATGGACGCAGTGTGAATATAAAATCAATGCTTGGAATTCAGCCGGGCATACCTATAGCTCTTGGAATGCGGTGAGGACATTGCAAGCACCTCCAGAAGGTCTCTCTCCACCTGAGATATCCTATGTATCTATGAATCCCCACAAGCTGCTGATTTCCTGGATCCCACCAGAACAGCCTAATGGTATTATCCAGTCCTATAGGCTTCAAAGGAATGAAATGCTCTATCCTTTCAGCTTTGATGCTGTGACTTTCAATTACACTGATGAAGAGCTTCTTCCTTTTTCCACCTATAGCTATGCACTCCAAGCCTGCACAAGTGGAGGCTGCTCCACCAGCAAACCCATCAGCATCACAACTCTGGAGGCTGCTCCATCAGGAGTCAGCCCTCCAGATCTTTGGGCCGTCAGTGCCACTCAAGTAAATGTGTGTTGGTCACCACCCACAGTACAAAATGGAAAGATCACTAAATATTTAATTATATATGGTAATAAGGAGTCTCTTGCTGGCCAGGGCCTGTGCCTGCTGGTTTCCAACCTGCAGCCTTACACTCAGTATAACTTCTCCCTTGTAGCCTGCACGAATGGAGGTTGCACAGCTAGTGTGTCAAAATCTGCCTGGACAATGGAGGCCCTGCCAGAGAACATGGACTCTCCAACATTGCAAGTCACAGGCTCGGAATCAATAGAAATCACCTGGAAACCTCCAAGAAACCCAAATGGCCAGATCAGAAGTTACGAACTTAGAAGGGATGGAACCATTGTGTATACAGGCTTGGAAACTCGCTATCACGATTTTACTCTCACCCCAGGTGTGGAGTATAGCTACACAGTAACTGCCAACAACAGCCAAGGGGGAATTTTAAGTCCTCTTGTCAAAGATCGAACCAGCCCCTCAGCACCCTCAGGGATGGAACCTCCAAAATTGCAAGCCAAGGGCCCTCAGGAGATCTTAGTGAATTGGGACCCTCCAGTGAGAACAAATGGCGATATCATCAACTATACTCTCTTCATCCGCGAACTGTTTGAAAGAGAAACTCAAATCATACACATAAACACAACTCATAATTCTTTTGGTACGCAGTCATACATAGTAAACCAGCTGAAGCCATTTCACAGGTAAGTAGTCATGTCTCAGTTTTCTGAGAGTCAGCCACTGACCTTTCTATTGCCTGAGCCTTTGGTCAGTTCTAATGAAGACTAAAAATGGGAAGCATGGTGTCCCCAACCTCCCTCCACCTAAACATGCATAGTAGACAAAGCGCATCCTCATTAAAGCAACGCTTATTTTCGTAACCTCCAGAGAGCAGAATTCTTGCAGGCGATATTTTGAGAGTCAGTTTTTCAGAAAGGTTTCCAACGCATCCTCATGTCTGAAATAAGTAGAATGGAGATGAGGTTAATCCCCCTGGAAATATGCAGGTCCCTGGACAGTTCTGACAGCTCCAATAGGGTCATCTGACCAGGGTGTGAGAAAATGATGTATATTTTAAGGTTAAAAAGTGTCTATCAGCCAGGCACTCATGCCTATAATCCCAGCACTTCGGGAAGCCAAGGTGGGTGGATCTCCTGAGGTCAGGATTTCCAGACCAGCCTAGCCAACAGTGAAACCCTGTCTCTACTAAAAATACAAAAAGTAACCAGGCATGGTGGCAGGCACCTGTAATCCCAGATACTTGGGAGGCTGAGGCAGGAGAATCACTTGAATCCTGGAGGGGGAGGTTGCAGTGAGCTGAGATTGTGCCACTGCACTCCAGCCTGGGCAACAAGAGCTAGACTTTGTCTCAAAAAAAAAAAAAAGAAAAAAAAAAAAGTGCCAATCAGTGAGTGCTATGACCAGCCAGAGTTAGAATAAAACAAGATTTGGTTTAAATTTGTTTAAAACAAAATTTGTTTTGTGAAGAGCCTTCTTATCAAATCCAGCACTTCTTCCAGGAATAATAAGGCTTCTCTGACTATTTTCTTATGATTTCTCAGGACAGTGCCACTTTGCTAGCTCCTGTTTTCCTATCGGTTCCATCTGGGCTCTGTGACATGCATGGAAGTGTGTTTTCTGCACACAAAAGATTCTTCCCCATAGCTTAAAGAAAATTGTTTGGCATTGTTCCCCATCACATTTTAAGTAACTTACATCCCCAGAGAGAAGGGTAATAAAAGACATTTTATGCTTAAAATTTAGTAAATGAAAAGAATCACTTAAAAAAATTAAAGGCTGAAAGAGTGTTGATTTCCAACTACCTTAGGTAAAATTTAGCTATTATCGTAATCTAGTGATGTGTAGATTAGATTCTCCTATAATTATCTCTGATATATAGCGCTGTTTAAATGAAACATTCATGGTCTTATGCATCTACTCATGACAATTATTTAGGGTCATATTAAATATTAAACAGTAATTAAAACTTCCTCAGGTATCCTCCACAGCTAATCCACATGCTATGTGAGCTGGCTTTTATATTACCTTACACTGATTCAGGACATAAAAAAGGCCAACTGTAGCTGCAGAGCTGTATACTCTACACTGGCTTCCTCTACTTTTCTGCACCTCCTCCTTTCAAAAATCGTATCAATTTGCTCCCCTTTGAAACTCTTAATCAAAAAATCTTCTAGAGAAGAAACAGTTTGTCCAGAGATGAGAGGAATGCTTTTTCCTGGCTGGAAGAAAGTTTGATTTATCTGATAAATTGCAATGATATTTAAGAATATGAGAGAGATCTCATTATTCACTCTAACTGAATCTATAAGTGACATTGACATAAAACAGAATATCATTTCCCTATGAAGTTGGAGTTCACGTGGGGATTTTTGACTTTGTGGATTAATGTTCACCAAATATTGCAAATCTGTGTGTCCTCCTCTCAGCACCCCCAGCTGGTCAGTAAGAAGAAGTAGCTTGGGAATGTCCTAAGTAGCAGAGGAATCCAACCCAGAATCTAAAAACTACCACAGATAATGAATAATCTCTATGTGCGAAATCAAAATTGACTTCACAGAATTGCTTAGAAGTCAGATCTGCCATACAGAGCTATGGATTTGATTACCAGTAAAGTGGTAGCCCTGTCATGGTGGAGATGGACATGAGAGGAGAACCAGGGGAGGAGGAGAAGAAATAAAGGAATAAAATAGGTCACAAAGGGAAAAAAGGTGTAATTAAGAAAGCACTGAGCCAGGAGCAATGGCTCATGCCTGTAATCAAAGTGAGCAGATCACCTGAGGTTGGGAGTTCGAGACCAGCCTGACCAACATGGAGAAACTCCATCTCTACTAAAAATACAAAATTAGCTGGGCATGGTGGCACATACCTATAATCCCAGATACTCTGGAGGCTGAGGCAGGAGAATCACATGAACCTAGGAGGCGGAGGTTGCCGCGAGTCAAGATCATGCCATTGCACCCCAGACTGGGCAACAAGAGCAAAACTCCATCTAAAAAAAAAGAAAAGAAAGGAAAGCACTGGCTGGGTGTGGTGGCTCAAGCCTGTAATCCCAGAACTTTGGGAGGATCACGAGGTAAAGAGATCAAGACTATCCTAGCCAACATGGTGAAACCCCGTCTCTACTAAAAATACAAAAATTAGCTGGGTGTGGTGGTGCACGCTTGTAGTCCCAGCTACTCAGGAAGCTGAGGTAGGAGAATTGTTTGAACCCAGGAGTCGGAGGTTACAGTGAGCCAAGATTGTGCCACTGCACTCCAGCCTGGCGACAGAGCGAGACTCCATCTCAAAAAAAAGGCTAGAACCAAAAGTACTAAAGGGAGAAAGAAGGTAGCTCAGCACTTGAGGGAAAATTGAAGGTGTCATAATAGCAGTAGTGCTTGGGAATAGAGAAAAAAGTGCTTATTTGCAGCCATAGGCACTAAATACTCACAAAAATTCTTTTTGTCAGAAAGAAAAGTCCCTGCTATGTAAATAGACCTTTTCAAGTAGCAGAGACCAGCTATGAGGAAAAACGTAATTGATTAGTTGAGTTTAACTGGATGGTAATAAGGTGTCTTCATGATTGATAATCTGGTGTGTAGTTGAGTTAACTTTGGCCCCACAAGGTCTGTGTATGTAAGGGAGCCTGTTTTAAGATGTTAGGTATCAGGTGAGGGGATTGATTACCACTGAGACCTTCATTCCATGATGTTCTTTCATGACCTGGACATACTCCTGGAGGATCATTCAGCCCTAGTTGCAAAGGTAGGAGGAGTCCAGGACTGCTGAGAACTGGTTCATACTTCCCAAGGTCTGCATTCTTTATTGCTGTTAGGTCATTCTGTAGAGTACCAGAATTTTCATGTCGGAAAGAATCTTGAAAATTATTTATTCCATACATCCTTGTTTAGGAGAAGAATTGTGCTTACCCGTTTCAAAGAGATAAGGAACTTTAGAAAGTCAGGAGGATTTTAATTGTTCAAAAATATCCATGTAAATATAACTTTGTTATTCTTAAGAGTTAGCTATAAATAAGAATATATGTAAGCTTTTTTTTTTAAGGCTTGGTGTTTTAAGGACTCTTCCCATGAATATGGGAATCACTAATTTCTGCTTTATGTCCTGAAGGTATGAAATACGAATTCAAGCGTGCACCACACTGGGATGTGCCTCAAGTGACTGGACATTCATACAGACCCCTGAGATTGCACCTCTGATGCAACCTCCTCCACATCTGGAGGTACAAATGGCTCCAGGAGGATTCCAGCCCACCATTTCCCTTTTGTGGACAGGACCGCTTCAGCCAAATGGAAAAGTTTTGTATTACGAATTATACAGAAGACAAATAGCAGCTCAGCCTGGAAAATCCAATCCAGTACTAATCTATAATGGAAGCTCAACCTCTTTTATAGATTCCGAACTATTGCCATTCACAGAGTACGAGTATCAGGTAAGAAATGTGTGTTATCAACAATTCGAGCTGATTGTGTGCACCCATCAGCACCCGCCCGTAAAAATGGTGTGCAATTTGAAAAGACACTTAAAGAAATGTAGGACTTAAGGAGGGTAATAGTATTCTTTAAAATTTTTTTCAGCAGTAAATGAGGAAAAGCCATATACATTGCCTTTTTCATTTTCTTGGTTTTTGAGTCCTGCAATGTATGTTGTTTTTCTTATGTAGATTCCAGGTGAAATAATTTGCTTTTCTTATTAATAGAGTGGTATCCGCCATTAAGATTCCCTCTGTCAGTGTTGCCTTGGTAGGAAATGCTCCTTATTAAAAGATCATTTTGCAAATAACTCATTACTTGTACCAAAACAAAGTAAAATCAAATGGCAAACATCTCTAGCTTCCATGCTCAAGAAAGAGAATGTTGAAAAAAAGTCTAGAGGAACACAACTAACCTGCCCATGGAAATGAGGTAAGTTTTCTATGAGGATGGCCTAAAAATATAAGACTACACATTCTTAAAAAGCCAAGAATTAAGACTAATCTTCAGAAAATAGCGTGAATTCTATGGAGGACTTTCTGTTAGGTTTGTTTGTTTTGCCATCGGGGTCCATTTGCATTCTTCTCGCAGTAACAACCCCGTTTCCTGTTGGAGAATGCTTCCCCTACCCTTTGCTCAGGTGTGGTGGGAGTGTCAATCAATGTGTCAGGCTGTCTCCTAGCCAAGTGGTGGGTACACGCGCTGCTCAGTCCCTCAGATTTGCCCGGGGCTTGATCTTCAGCAGGGGACTCAGAATTTTGAAAGGTGGAGGTGAGAAGTCCTGATAAAATATCCCTAACCTCAGTCTAAAAGTTTTTCTTTTCCCTGCTATTTCCAAGCATATTTCCAACAATTGTAACAATTCTTTTAATTCCATATACTCACAGTAAACTCCTTTTTGCTTCAGTCAGAATCAGTGCCTCTTGCTTGCAGTCAAAGAAAACTTACTGATTGATGTAAGCACTTAAGTGCCAGGCACAATGCCAACAGAAATTTTCTAAAAGAGGAAACTGAGCCTTAAAAAGCTTATTATAACATGTAATAATAAAAGTAACACGTCACCAAAAAAATAGTGACCAAATCAATGAGTATAATGATTACAGGGAACATTTTAAGCATGAAAAGAATATTTTAGGACAATAATGGATGGGACAAATTACTGAATTAAGTTAATAAGATTTGAAAATACAAATAAATTATTGAATGGTTTGGAAAACACACAGATATAAATCCATAATCCCTTGTTTGCAATTCCAAATCTAAAAATCTCTTAAAAGTATTATCTTGCTTTGCCACAAGTCATTTGGCAACAAAACTCAATCTAAACAGACTTGAGACTATTTACAGTATTTGCTTACCTCATTTAATATGAATGTTTATATGTTTTGCTACAAAAATATTGTTTTATTATAAGAAGGCTAACCAGATCATGCTGTTGATATTATAAAATTACAGTGCATACATTTTATCCTATTTCAAAATCTGAAAACAAATTTATTTTAAACCATATCAGGCCCCAAGGGTTTAGGATAAGAAATGTGGTTTATGTCGTCAAGGAACAAAATACTTACTGATGCCACCATTGGAAACATAATACTATTAGAAACAGCCAGAACCTGTGTGTCTGCTCTTTTGTTCTTTTCTCATTTCCTTAATTGAAAAGTGTCATGTTATCAAAGTTATCAATTATGTAGACTCCCTTTCAAACAAAAATGGTACCTTCCTGAGAGAGCTGGATGAAATCAGCATGAAATCTTTGGCCACTAATTAGACACAACTTAATGACCAATATATAAGAAACACAAACTTTCTTTGGTATTGTGCTGTGTCATTGGGCTAAATTCTGGTCACATGATCTGTAGAAGTCTCATTCCAGTTGTTCGTTTGTTTTAGACAGAGTCTTGCTCTGTCTCCCAGGCTGGAGTGCAGTGGCGAGATCTCAGCTCATTGCAACCTCTGCCTCCCAGGTTCAACCAAGTCTCCTGCCTCAGCCTCCAGTGTAGCTGAGATTACAGGTGTGCACCACCATACCAGGCTAATTTTTTTGTGTTTTTGGTAGAGACAGGGTTTCGCCATGTTGACCAGGCTGATCTTGAAGCCCTGACCTCAAGTGATCAGCCTGTCTTGGCCCTCCAAAGTGCTGGGATTACAGGCATGAGTCACCGCGCCAGGTCCCATCCTGGTTTTCTAAGGAATGGAAAGCTCCAACCATGTGTCTTGTCTCTAGTCAGATTTTTCATCAGGTACTAAGGATGACGAGGAATCAAAGAACCCACATTTCAGAGGAGAGGCAAGTTAAGAACCTTAGGCTATGTGGTCTCTTTCGAAACTGTTACTATCAGCTGTGTTACACTCCTCCGTACTCATCTCACTCAAATGAAAGTATTTAATTTGGTTTTTGATCTCCAGTTTTTATTTATTAGCTAATCCCATGTAGTTACAACATAAGGATAGAAAACAGAGAAAATCCAAATTTAGCTCAGCCCCAAGGCCCAGTTCTTATGGAAAACAATATTTTGAAAAGCATAGATTAAATGCTGAAATAAATGAAAGGAAAACATTGGTTTCATTTAGCCTGTGCAAATACCGAGTCTATGCAGACCCAGAGTAATCCTACAGAAATCATTGAGGAAGTTATATACTAAAACAATTTTTTTAAACAAAAGAGCACTTTGTATTTGTGATGAATTTGCATTGCTCTCAAATCCACTTGAGAGTTACTTCATCTGCAAGTTGCCTTTGAATACACCTTCATTGTCATATACACATCTGCTCACCCAACAACTGACAATGAGTTGACCCTTCTGGAGAGGATTATGTTTTCGAGGTAATTGTAGATTGTAGGGAATGAAAACAAAGAACTGAGAAACTTCATAGCAGTGTGAAAGGATTAATCGGGAGATCGTGAGGATGTGTAGCTGGGGAGGTTGCCACCCACATGGTGTGTCTTGCAAGCGTCAGATGGGGCTCCTCACCACCTTCCTACACTATGCTACATTATTGTACTCATTTCTGTTTTTGAGTTAAATCATTGAAAGAAGTTGTTAAAATTTAGTTATATAAACAGAACAAGACAGCTTTCACTAGTCTAAATCAGCTCATTCTATCAGATATCTTGGATATCACATGGATAAGTTCTGATGGGCAGGAGGGTCAGGAAATATCTGGAGAAACGGATACTTACAGAGAGAGGGGGAGCTTCTCACTGGAGAAAACCAAAGAGGGAAATTAAATGAGCAGCAAATGTCACTCACCTCACCACAATTCACATAACCAGCTTGGTAACTAGCTTCTTTAGAGGTGAGAAAAATCCATGTGCTATCAAAAGCATCTTCTAAATGTTTACTAATACTTCGATCTGGAATGCCCTAAAGGTAGTATCCCCAATGTTTATAGGACAAATGAAGGACCTAAGAGCTTGTTCAAAGGGCAGATACCTGGGTGGAATGGGAAGGGACCCCAGCAACCTGTATTTTTAACAAGCAGCCTGGATGGTCCACAGCCCACTTTTTTTGGAAATACTACCTCAGAGGGTGCAACATTGCTGCTGTGCCACTTAAGCCCAGTTTTCAAGTGGTGATTTTCCAAATCAGTGGTTCTTAGTCTTGACTGCACACTAGAATCACCTGGGGAAATTTCACAACATTCTGGATGCCAATACCCAGGCCCCATTCGCCTGTAGTTCTGATTCTGGGATGGGTTCGGGCATCTGTGCAATTCAGAAGGTCCCCAGGTGATTCTCATTGCAGCCAGGGTTGAGAATCACTAGCCTAAACTGTCATAAACAGATCGCCTAAATAAGTGAAGCCAGCTCCCCACAAATGCCTAATTTACATGTGATAATTGATGATAGCCTATTGACATTGGTCTATCCATCGCTTTCCTAAAGAAGGGTCCTATTGTTTTGGTATGAAGCTAGAGAGGGTAACAGAATATATTATCTACAAAGTCCATATTTCAGTTAATCAAATAATTTATTTTAATCATCCTCATGGATTTTATTTGGTTTTAGTTATTGTTATTTTATTTTCTTTTGTTTCTTACTTGGGAGGTCCAGTCTTTGGTGGTAAGAGTAAAGTTCACCGTCATTTAAAACAGGGGATCTTTCTAGTTTGAGACGTTTCAGCATACCTTCCAGAATTCTGGGATTCTGAAGGATAATGCTGGAGGATTAGCTTTAATAAAGCCAGTGAGAACTGAAATATATGTATCAAAAAATTAGGAAGATTATTATTATTTTTTTCCACAAGAATAGGTCAGTGGCTTCACAGAGTACAGTGCAGGGCCCCATTAGAAAGCAAACATTCTCTGTGAATTTTGAATGCAACTTAGTTTACCAAAATCTAATTCTTAAACAACTCTGTAAATATATGTTCCATGCATGAGATGCATCTATACTAAATAAAATTCTTCCATTGCATAGACCTCTTCCTTAAATAGAGATCACTGGCTTGCTTGTGCTACAGAATATTTACAAATCCAAGAAGATTTTTTGGAAGACAATACTCATTTCTATCTTCAACTTTTCAAAATTGGGCTATTCTAATACATGCAATGTGAACCTCCAAATTCTATGTGGAGCAGCTCTTAATTGTTTAGCAGCAAATTAAGGCAATATTCTTCCCACAGGCTTCGAGAGGGACCTGGGTGTGAGTCTACTCCATTAAGACATTTTGTTTTTTACCTTTGGGGAGTGAGCCGAGGCTAATGAATAGCTCTCAGTAATTGTACATTCATATTCATACTCTCGCTTAAGGCAATGACTCACCACGGATTTGATAGGGCCCACCACCACCCCCCCCTTCACTGAATCATGCTGTCAGTGACTTAATTAGTTTTCCTGAAACTTCCTCACTTTGACAGATTTTTGCAGTAAGCGCCCACGCACTCAGAGTCTCTGAAGGCTTCTGGTGCCTCATGGCTGGGTGACTGAGAAGCAGCAGGGCAGCCTTAGAGGAAA